GTGTGCCGAGCGTGGAAGAGCTTAAGGCTCTCGGGTTGTATGTTAGGTCGGGTGTGATTTGGTTGCACCAGGCGTGAGTGGGTTTGATGTTTTTGGATTGAAATTGATGCTCATGCATGTTTAAAGTTTAAGTTTTAGATCATGTATGTATGATATATGATGTATGGTGAGGTGTGATTCATATGTATGTTTGGTAATGATATATATGAATGTTTAAATATGATATGACATGTGTATATGTTCATATGAGGATTATTATTGATCATGATGGTAGGTAGACCATGTATGATGTATGATGTATTATTGCATGTGATGCCTTATAGTATGAGTATGATTATTGATCATGATGGTGGGTAGACCATGTATGATGTGTGATGCATAATTGCATGTGATGCCTTATGACATGAGTCTAGCCGAGGGGTTGAGGGGAGGGGAAATGTTTTCGGACTGAAAGAGCTCACATAGAGTCTCTTGAGAGTGGTGCTTGGATAGACCATTGATATGAGAGTGATGCTCAGGTTGGTCACTAGATTTGAGTGAGAGTGGTGCTCAGGTAGGCCATTGGGTTGGGTGAGTCTCCTCTAAGTCTTTAGCTAGTGTTGGAGCGGAGTATGAGGTCGAAGGTTATTTCCTTAACCAAGTACTGGAGAAGGTGCGTGGATCCTTGCGGATAATTGGTGGACGAACTCCACAAGTGACTTGGTAATGCATGCCAAGGTCGTGGTAAGCCTGTACCCAGCTGTGATATACCTGACGGTGGATCCGGACTTCTAATTATGTAAGTGACATCATCCGAGTAAACCTGAGTGAGGATTTTTATCTTATTTAGCTGTGACCGAGCAAGTGCATTGGGCGTGAAAACGGTTGGGGTGATTTTGGTTGGATTGGGATGTCACTTACACTACTCTACTGTTAGGGAGATCTCCTAGGTATATGCGTGACGATGCATTACAAGATTGATATGTATTAATATCTGTCATGAGTTGCATGTTATTGCATGAATGTTGTTCTGATGAAGTGTATGATGTTTGACTTCATGATTGGTGTGTTGCATTTTATGCATAAATAGATTTGGATAGAGTGTATGATGTGACTTTATGAACATGATTGGATAAATATGTAGTATAGATTATTGTTCTATACTTGTGTGGTTGTTTATTAAACTTTAGCTTACCTTTCTGTTTCTATGTGGATAGATTGCGATGATCATACATTTTATAGGAGTAGATTAGGGCTAGCTTGGAGTTGAGATCCGTTGCCAAACGAAGAGTTTTGTCCTAGTGTTAGAGTTATCTGCTGGAGTAACTGTTATTGTGCTTGACTGACACTAGAAAATATTATTTTGGATGACTCTACATATATATATATATATATATATATAGTGTTATAATTTATTTTTAAAAAATTGTTATTATTATATTTTATATACCCTTAGTGAAAGGACCATAATGGTTCGTTAGATTTATTTTGATAATATTTATAGTGATTGATTTGATTTGAATTCTCCGTGGCCAAAAGATAATTGTATATGATGGAGATAGATATACTTGTTTTCAATTCCGCCTCCTATAATAATCTATTTCTATGGGCTAAAATTTTTTTTCAACACATTTATCATTAATATTTAATGTAAAAAAAATAGAAAGCTAAGGACCGTGTATGATTTCTATATACTTTCACTGGTTTTCTTTTCAATCATAATCAATCTGCTTTCATAATGTTTGGTAGGGAGCTTTTCCACTCAATTAATTTTTGCTTCACATTTTTTAAATTTATAATTACTTTAACTCGGGTTATAAAAAAGATTTAGATTTTTTTTATTCCTTTTATTTTATGAAAAAAAAAACTATTTTGATTAATGAAAAGCATTTGAGACTTACACTTTATTAGTTATGTGACAGTTTTTAATTACTATATTGTTTATTTATAAAATTTTAAACCAATTTTAATATAAAAATACTACTTAATATAAATGAATATACAAAGCCATTATATTATAACCTAAAAGTAATAAATATATTATAATAAAAAATAATAAATGTATCCATCTTAATATGATATTCTTATTTTTTTAATTATCATCCCGTTGTTATTATTATAACTGTTTAAAAATTCTTGCAAATATTATGTATAGGAAATAATTTTAAACATTATATATTAAATAATCAATAAATATAACTAATTTCATTTTTTTTAAAATTTATTAACCTCTTTAGTATTATAATGTCATTTGATTCATAAAGTTATAATTCAGTAATTTTTGTCTCTTAAATATTATAATCATACAATTTTGATCTCAAACTTTATTTAAATAATTTTAGCCTCTCAAATATTATAATTATGTAATTTTAATTTGTTGAATATCGTAATTATATAATTTTTAACTTATTTAAATAACATATATCATAATTTTTATTTATATATTAAATGATATATTTATTATTATTAAAGTTATTAATACATGTAACTTAAACAGATAAAAAAACTGTATAATTACAATTTTGATAAAATATTTATAATACTTAAAAGACTAAAATTATTTAATTAAAATTTAAGAAATTAAGATTGCATAAGCATAATTATTATATTTGAGAGATAACATATTTAAGCTTTTTTTTAATCAAAGTTTATAAAAACATAAATAAAGTTTGAATAAGATATTGTATATATTATTTTAACTTTTAACATGAACCATCATAGTGATTCAACTAAATTTAATCTTTGGATCTAAAATGAGAGAATTGCACTTTAAAAAATAAAATATAATAATAATTATTGATTAAAATTTTAATATTTAATATTATAATTAATTTTATATTTTATTTTTATAAAAATTTGATTTTATCACAAATTTTAATAAACTAATTTTATAATCAACAATTATGAATACATTTTATCCTCCAAAACATATTCTTTCACTTAAAAAAAAGAAGTTAAATCCTTAATCTTTATTTCTTTTCCATATTTTAATTTAATTCTCCCTTCACCTTTTTCACATACCTTTTCAATTAAGTGAATCTCTCCTCTTTACATTAATTTAAAAATGTGAGAAGAGCATACTAATTAACGCCAACGTTACACTCAATCAAACGACCCTATGTAGTACGTCTAGCCGTGGCGTGCAACTGAAGGTTCGAGTTGATTAAGATAAAATATGAATGAGTGAAGAACCTTTAACTAATTCATTCAATAAGATTTGATTCATAACAAAACACAATTAACTACAAAAATACACAAATCACACCGTTACACAATCATAATCTACTGTATATATTAAGGGTATTGACTTTTATAATAAATATTTTAAAAAATTATACAAATTATAATTTTAATTAGTTGACTGTAAATTCTTTTTTTATCGATTTATTAATTGTGTAAAACTATAATCTCTACTCATTGGGAAGAAAACATTGTTGAAAATTTGGATAATTTTCATATCTTAAAAAAAAATTAGTTTATGGTTATCGGAGAATATCGTTAATGTATAAATTCTTTTTATATTATTATATATTATGATAAGTTTGATATCCTTTGTAATAATTATTTAAATTTTTTTATATTAATTAGGAAAAGAGAGTCATTTTATATTTCTATATAATTTTTTTAGAAAGTAAAGTGAAAATAAGAAAAAGTACCTCTTTTTACTAAATCTTTTTTGCTTAAAAAAAAAAAAAGTAAATATGAAATAGAAAATGTAAATGTACAATCAATTTTTATATTAAATATGAGCAATACCTTACACAAGAATTTTTAAGTAATTTTTTATAAGATATTTTTTAAAAATAATTTAACTTCTTATTTAATTTTTTTTATCATAACTGTTTATGAATTAATTTTTAATATTTTTAAAATAAATTATCAATAGGTAAAAGTAATCTTGTTCTATAATATAAATTATTTATCATAAATATAAAACATAATTTATATGATTAAAAAATATCAATTCATATAAATTTTAAATATAATTTATATATTTAAATATAATATTTATTTATATATAATTTATTATAAATTTTAGTTATATATAATAAACATTTAATCTATATGCGATTCACAAAATAAATTATTAGTTATTTTAAAACTAAACTTTATATACAATTAATAAATTATTTTTATAATATAAATTAAGAGGTAAAATGATCTAAAAATAAATACGGTCCATGTATTAGTTATAGATTAGGATTATTACAAATTATAAGTTTATAATAATATATAAAAGAAATACAAGGCTTTCATTTTTACTTATCAAGAGTAATTTCATTCCTTAATATTATATTCATCTCTTTGTTATTTAATTCTAAAAATAATCTTAACTTAAATTTTTGTTTTCATCTATCAAAATTTTATCTTCATAAATTAATCACGATTCTTTTTGCATAATGATAAATGGTTGCTTTCTATTTTAAAATTTTATTTTTTTACTTTTGATTATTTATGATTTGTTTTTTATTCTATTTAAATTAAATATGTAAAAGTATTTTACACGTAAATTGAAATTAATACAATAAAATATTAAATAATTTTTAAAATTTTAAAAAAATTATAAATTTAATTTATATATTAAAATTTTAAATTTAATAATTAAATTATTAAAATTTAATGTAAAATATGAATTATAAAATTATAGAGATATGATGATTGATTAATCAGATACTATATGTAATGTAACCACTCAATTTTGTAAATGTATATTCTTCTCATATTCATATCTATATAAGCGAATTACATTTATGAATAGCCTTCCTTCGGATACATTTTATCATTCCTAGAATAATAACCTTTAACCGAAGGGTCCAAAAGTGATAATCACATGACATTACTTTAAGAAAGAAAACCGAAATCCCAGTTGGGGAAGTTATGATTAATGTGAGGTGGTGAAGACGTGTGCGTTGCGTAATAAAGTGAAGTGTTCACCCAATAAGTGTAGTGATAACCACAAAAAGATTAAAAGATTTAAGATTCCATTGTGATAAAGCATATCACATGAATGAATGAGCACACTGCTGTAACGCTGAAACCCCGATCGGTACTGTCCTTGTCCTGTCTCCTTGTTTCTTTCTTCTGCACTTACCAAACCAAACCCAAAATCAAATCTCTTTCTATTTATATATAATAGTTGCCTAATTGCTCACCACAAGAGAAGAGAGAGAAGGGCGGTTGCAAACACATACGAGATAGAACAACAACCTAGATTCTCATTCTATTCAATTCACTCACATATTCTGTCACCCATTTCAGATTTCATCTTAAAGCACATTAATTTAAGTTCAAAACCTTAACTTTTTTTTGACTGTGGCGAGGATCTTCAGAATGGTAGGTGGTTCTCTCATAAGGCTTTTTTTTTCTTCTCTGATTTGATTTTAATTTTTTTCGGGGGATGGGGGTGCTTTTTATTTGAAATAAATTAAAAGGGGTTATTTTGATTTTTTGCTTGGAGTTGCTAATTAGAGATGTTGGTTTGAGTGGAATTCAGGTGGTGGCTGCAGGTGCTAAGTTCAATTTGAGAAAAGGCAATGGTTCTTCTCATAATGGGTATAGCAGCGATGGAGATCTTTCCAGAATTAATAAGAGTGGGTGTTTTTCATCAGTGGCTGAGGTGGATAGAGACCCTTCTTGCGTTTCATTTACCACTTTCAACATTCTGGCTCCGATTTACAAACGGATTGATCCAAAGGTCTTGTCTTGTGTTACATTCATGTAAATCCTGTTGTGTGTGTTGGAGGGTTTCACTGAGTTTGTTGTGTGTTTTGTTGTGAACAGAACCAAGTCCCACGAGAAAGTGACTTCAGATCATTTTGGTTGGACAGGAATGAAAGGATTCTTGATTGCTTGCTTTCCGAATCATCTTCCATTATGTGCCTCCAGGTAGCAGTTGTCTCTTGTAAAAATACATGCCTTTGGGCTAACCAATCCTCACTCGCTCTATAATATGACGCTTGTTTCATGTGTAGGAGTTTTGGGTTGGAAATGAAGAACTTGTTCACATGTATGAGGAGAGACTTGGGGATGCTGGCTACCATCTCTTCAAGCTTGCTCGAACCAACAACCGTGGAGATGGTAAGTGTGTCAAAATGCTTTTCATCTTCATACTCATTTTAATGTTTGGATTCCCAATTGTAATACTTAATTGTTTGATAGTGGTAAGCACCAAGGTTTTAAATTGCAATCGTGGTTCGCAATCTTTCAAATTGCAGAATATCCCAACTGATGGGATTGCAAGACTTAAAATCTTGATGTTGCCATCAAAATCGCAGTTGTAGAACATTTTTTTAAAACCTTGGACTTAGTGCGAATGTTAGACGTGGTTGTGGAGATTGTTTCATATGTATTTTTCTTTCATTATCCAAAATCTATATATCTTGAATTAATTTTTTTGCTCGTTGGCTCAAAAACTCATGTTTATTATGCAGGTCTGCTGACTGCTATAGATACAGAATGTCTAAGAGTTGTGGATTATCGAGAGTTGCTTTTTAACGATTGCTGCGATCGTGTTGCTCAGTTGTTACATGTTCAGTCAGTTACACCCTTTGCACAAAACCAAAAAGGAAGTGTTCCCCAAGAGTTTCTGATTGTGAACACTCACTTGTTATTTCCTCATGATTCAAGTCTTTGCGTGGTGAGATTGAATCAGGTATGAGTCCCCAGAAAATTAATCTTTTTTCTTATTCATTGATGATTGTTGTAGCCAAGTCAACTTGCTTTCAATCCTAAATCTAGACTTATCATTTGCCTTCTTTTAGGTTTACCAAATATTGCAATATGTGGAATTGTACCAGAGAGAAAACAGGCTCAAACCAATGCCTATTATACTCTGTGGGTGAGTTTATTGTTTGATTTTCCTGCTATGTTAGTATTTCTACAGGAATGGATGTCCTAATAGTGTGAACTTCATGATCTATCTAATGCAGTGACTGGAATGGAAGCAAGCGTGGACATGTTTACAAGTTCCTTAGGTCACAGGGGTTTGTATCATCATATGATATTGCTAATCAATACAGTGACAGTTATGCAGATGCCCACAAGGTAAATATGTCATTATATTATGTGTAATTGTACATATGCTTTTCTGCTGTTAAAAGCATTGTGTTGGTAGATTTTTGTTAATCTTGAATTTTTTTTTTCCTGCAGTGGGTTAGTCACCGAAATCATAGAGGAAATATCTGTGGTGTTGACTTCATTTGGCTTTGCAATCCCAACCAAGCACGTAAACCTTTGAAGACAAGTTGGGCTGAAGCTGTATTTAGTATACTAAAAGTGAGTATGACTCACCCAATTTAATATATTTTCTTATAGTCTTTGTGTTTATGACTATTTTAGTTTTAAAAGATTAAATATGCAAGTCAACTACTCTAGTTATGTGAAACATATGGTAGGTTTAAGAAGTAGTTCCTATGGTGGATGACCTTTTCATAGAAGTTGAATTATTCTACTTCAGTTGTACTTGTTAACAATTTTCTTTTATTGATATGATCTTGTAAACTTGGTTGACAGCCAGCTTACGTTGATTGGAAGTCTTCTACTGTTAAAATGTTATTTCGTGTTTAGATTTCTGCTTATGGGAAGCTTTGGTAAAAAATGCTGATGGAAGAGCTTTGATCTCAAAAAACATCTAAAATCTACAAACAATAAATTACATCCTTGTACTCGATTTCTTATGGGCATTCATAATCATAAAATTTTCTGTGAAGAAATAATGAGAATATATGCATGACCATTTTATCTCAAAATCTAATGCTTATTCTTTCTTTTCTTTTCTTTTGGATTTCAGTTCCAGTTACGTAAAGCTTCACTGTCTGAAGATGATGCATTTGCCTTTCTGAAGGGTGACAACTACGCTGATTCTGTTACATATTTTAGTTTCTCTGAAGCACTCCGTCAGGTACTTGTATCTGCTAATATGTGATGATGTCAATTCCAAATTTCCAATAGCAATAACCAAAAAAAAAATAAAAAAATTTTGAGAAAGACTTGCACCTTACCATAACATTTTCAGGTGAAGTTAATTGGTGTGCCCTATGGTCTATGCTTTCAACAGCTGCAAGATCTATGGAATCAAGCAGATGTTGATGGAAATGGTGTCATCGACTTCGAAGAATTCAAGGTATTTTATATCTCTTAATTTTTGGATATCTACAAATACACCTGCATGCATGCACTTGCATGTGCCTAATTCAGTGTGCATGATAGCAAAAGTTGTGACAAAAATCATCAGAATTAATGTAATACTATCTTAATTCCTATATATAAGGCTTTTTAAGTAATTCATATAAATCAAGAAAATTAGTTAATTTAGTTAGTAAGATTAAATTAATGCAAAAGACACTTTTGAAAAAAATCTTATTTGAAGGGACAAACATTTTTACCGAGGCAGTACCAAATATCTCTTTAGCACATTGTCTGTTATTATTATTGAACAAAATGGTGTTTGCATTACAGCAGAAGATTTGGAATTCTGCATGTCCAGAACATGTGTTGGAAAATTTGAATGGATGCATGGAACATGGTAACACAGAACAGGAGCAAGAAGCCCTTGGTTTTCAAGTGAAGAATGCGATGCTGTATCCGCGTGAAGTGGAGAGAGGACAATGGCCAGAAGACTACTCTCTTTCTGATCATGCTAGACTCACAGCTGTGTTTTCACCAGCAAGGATGAGATGTTCTGCCTCACAAAACTATAGTTAGTTAGCTAGCTAGCTGGCACTCATACTATAAATCTTCTTAGAATTGACCAAAAAAAATTGTGGAGATATAAGGTATAACCCACAGAAAAAATATTCAATTTTGCGACAAGTTTGGTATAGGGGTAAGGTAAAGAAAAGTGGTTAAGTTTTCACTTTGATTTTTGTGTTCCTTAACAAACATGCCATGCCATTAGTCTGTCTTGTATATGTGTGGAGTCAAATTAATGTAGTGGATGCTGTAATCAGTTTTGATAAGCCCTGGCCATGCTTTTTTCTCTGGTAATGGGATAACAATGTAAAGATTTTATTTTTTTTTGTTGATATAAATGGATGTCTATATTCTCTATTTCATTTTCCCATTGTTTGGATCCATTGATTTTGACAAAAACAGGCTATAGCCCATATTATCTGCTCTCTCTCTTCTTTTTTTTTTTTGGCTAAGAAAGTCTCCTGTCGGTTACTTTTTTGCATCTTTTTTCTAAACACACATCCTAATTTTTTCCAACTTTTATTTCTATAATATTCTTGTACACAATTTTGATTTCATTGTTCTGAAATTTATGTTCTAGAATCATGGATAAAAAATTGACTTAATAACCGAAGAAAAGTAACAACACTCATAATTGTATTTTTTTTTTAGTTTTTCCATGGAAAGTAGTTCTAAATCGATATTTAAACATATATTGTTGCTCACTGAACCCTGATTTTCTGAACCACCCACAGGAATGC